AACCCCAGGCAGCAAAGGCCGCCGGCGGCCCCACTCGCGTTGAGAAGGCCAAGATCGGCCTGATCCAGTTCCAGCTGTCGCCCCCCAAGGCCGACATCGAGAGCAGCGTCGTCATCAGCGACTACCAGCAGGTGCGCGCGCGCGTGTGTGTGTATGTCTGTGTGTGTGTGTGTGTGTGTGTGTGTATGTGTGTGTGTGTGAGCGTGTTCGGCTGCGTCCGTTCAGCTGCGTGAGGGCGCATTGTTCTCGGGTAAATCGCGCACCATGCACCGACCCATGATTGCTTGCGCTCGGTGAGCGCGGGTGTCCATGTGCGTGCGCACGTTTCTAGTTGCAGCTCGCGCTGCTTTGCCTGATATCTGGCCCCCTCTGCCGTCCCCAACGCACACATCTCTTCTCCCCCGCCACCGTGTCATGGCATCTCAAATCATCCTTTCCCCCCCCGCCCCGCCCCCAGATGGACCGGGTGTACAAGGAGGAGCGCAACTACATCCTCGGACTCGTGAAAAAGGTGCGCGCAGGCCAAGGCACCAGATCAGTGCACGATCTGGGCTCATGATCTGACCCGACGGCCCGTGCCGACCCCTCCGGCCACCCCTCTGCGCCGTGCCCGAGGATCTCGCACCCATCGTCAAACACGCCGCGCCACCCCTCAGCACCGGGGCGCGCCGCTGACCATCCCCTCTCAGGTCTCCTCCGTCTGGATGACCAACCCAGCAACCCCACTCCCACTCCCACTCCCACACACCCCCAACCCCTCCCTTGCCCCCCACAGATCCGTGCGTCTGGCTGCAACGTGCTGCTGATCCAGAAGTCCATCCTGCGGGACGCGGTGACAGACCTCAGCCTGCACTACCTGGTGGGTGTGGATCTGTGTGTGCTTGTGTGCATGCGCGTGTTGTGTGTGTATGTATGTATGTGTGTGTATGTGTGTTCGCGTATGTATGTTTGTTGATATGTGTGTTTAGGTGTGTATTGGTGTGGAGGGGGTGCGTGGACGAACGCCATCCTCCCCCCCTCCCCCTTTCCGCCACGCACGTCCGCTGCGGCACGAGCGGCTTCAAGCCGCGGCCTTGCACCCCCTCCCTTACTCTCACCACCCTCCACGCCCCTTGCTGTGCTCCCGTGCCCCTAATCCCCCCAAAACACACTCACATTCACATCAACACGCCTCTGCTCCTTCCCCCCACCCCCTCCCCCACCCCCCCAGGCCAAGGCCAAGATCATGGTGGTGCGAGACATTGAGAGGGACGACATAGAGTTCATCTCAAAGACACTGGTGCGTATGTGCTTGTGTGTGTGTATGTGCGTGTGTGTCTGCGTGTGTGTGCATTTGTGTAGTGTGTGTGTGTGTGTGGTTTTATGTGCGTGTGTGTTGTTGTATGTGTGTGTTTGATGGGGGGGGTGTCCAACAGCAGGGGCGCTGAGTCCCGGCGCAGCCGCAGGCTCCTCGGGGTGCGCGGGCCAAGCGGCGTGGGGACCGGCGGGGCTGAGGCG